CTTAAAATAACAAATAGTAACAAACAAGAAGAAATCAAATTTCACTGTTTGTTTATTTCAGTATCATTCTGTGACATCAAGCTCTAGGCAGTACATATTGGTTGATATTTTATATATCTATAATTATATTAATTTGACAATAAAATATGATAAATAACCTTTTAATTAAAAAGGTGCTGTTATTAAGAGAAACTCCAAAAGATGTCAGCGCTGTACTAAGCCCCCAATGTTTAAAGTCTTCCAATGCACCTGAAACTCCTGTTTCAATGTTACCACCAGTTTGCATTAGTCATAGTCACAGTAATGGCAGTATTGCTTTTTTATATGAGTTTTACCAGCTTCCTTTTACTTCAGATATATAACTTTACAAAAGAATGGTCCACACTAAGCAAAAGCTTAAATCTCTACTTGATTTCATTGAATGATAAATGTGAAGGCTCAATCTAGTGGCAGTGGTAAAAAGATATGTAGTTAAATCAGAAATGATAGATAATTTAATAGAATTTAATAAAGGAAACAATCCAGAGAGAAAGCGATAGAGAGAAGCAGAGAGAGAGAGAGAGAGAGAGAGAGATTCCCAGCTCCTCCTTCTCCTGGTTATATTAAATGGCTCAACCAGCACATCAGTGTATACTCACCACCTAAAGAAAGTATTATTAAATAAATGTTATTTTTCTTGACAAACATCAGACTGCACTAACGTTGTTCCACCATAACTAATATATTTTATATGAACATTTTTTATGTCAGACATGTAAAAATGATTATGAACCAGAAACACTGATGATATGAGTTATAGTTATTGTTTTGAAGACTCATCTGCTCAAATTTGAAGGTGGAAACACTTATATATTTCTCTTGCTTTTTATACTCACTGTCAACATTTTCTAAGTTATCATATTTGCAAACAACCATTCATTCTTGTTTTTGTGATATTTAAACAGTTATGAGATGTCACTACACGGTTTGACAAATCTTCTTTTTACCTTAGAATTCCAAAATAATAAAGGATGGCTGAAATTACTTGACTGGCACATACTGTGAACCTTTCTGTCATGTGTGGCTGTGTGGCAGGCAGAATGAAGGATCCAAATTAATGAATCACAAGAAACCAATGAATGTACAGGGAGCACAACAACTGCAATAAAAAAAACAACACTGGGTTTAAATATAACAGGGGGTAACGAGGGAATGGGAAACAGGAGGGAAACACAGGTGGACTAATCTGACATAACAAGGACGGGGAGGAAGCAAGACTGAAAACACTGAACACAGGACATAACACCGCCAAAGTAAAACAGGAAATACAAAAAAGGCACGGAGACTTACAGACAGATAAGGAGACATGGCTGACAGGGAAAAGTGAACATGGAGCACAGAGAGAAGAGTAACTAAACATGAAACGTGGAACACAGGGAAGGGAAGGTAACAGAAACTCAAGGACTATAACTAAGAATGTAACATAAGCAGAAAACAATAATGGGAATAAAACCATGAAAACCAACAAATCAAAACATAACTAATCAGAATCAGCATACTTTATTAATCCCTAGGGAAATTATGTAATTGTATAACTAATCAAACTAATCAAAAACACAACACGCTGGCTTCCAGACCCAGTAGCATGATACTTTCAGCTTTAACATCTAACCATGATTGATTTTATATCTGAATGAAATCGGAAGGTTAAAGTGTGAGATAATAAATCTTATCCACTGCTTCAGCTTAGTCTTATGAATAACAAGTTACAAATGTACTGTGTGATGCAGATGTGGATAAAGACATGAGAAAAACTGCGTTGCTCACATCTCAATCTGATTTGGACTTAAAAAAAGGAAAAAGAAAAACAAACTTGAATGTGACAGTAAAGTAAAAGCTCAGTCATTCAATGTGTTATGAAATATAAGCAGACTGATGAGGGGAAAATAAAGATGACAGTGAAAGTTGGCCTCAACAGGATGTTTCAGTTCCTCTTCCCTCATCAGTGACAGTCAGGAGGTTTTTGTACAGCCATGTATACAAACTGAATCACTGTGGTATTCGGACAAGGCACCAAGCTGATTGTCACAAGTAAGTACTTTTAAACTGATTATAAAGTGGGAGAGATTTTCTTAATATTATTCAGTGTTTATGTTTCGATATCTTATGTTTCAGATTTTTAATCATTAATTATTAATATTCTAATGAGCCTTCAAATACAAGATTCTTCTTCAATTTGTTTCTTCAGAACTGAGAAAGCCTCTTAGATGAGGCTTGAAATGCTTGAATGCTGTTGAATGTAATTCTTTAACTTTGTGATTAGAGGCAGATATTGATCTCTGTCATTCCTATGAAGCAACAGTATTATTGAACTTTGATGAGACATTGTTTAAAGACAAAATGTGAGAATAATTCAGTCTTGATTAGTAGTAACTGATCTAAAAGTCAAATCTCAAAAAGGCAAAACACTAAATTAAAGTTAACATTCTGACCTTAATCTGGTTCAGTTTTAGAGCTAACTGTATTCTGTTTAACGTTTATCATAGATGGTATTGTTTTATTTCACACTAAAGAGTTTCAGACTAAAAAATACTGACTGATGTAAATGTTTATGTGTTTGAAATGTAACATTTCTACTGCTTTAGATACTATTTATTTATAGTTTTACTGGAAGATATTAGTTTGTTCAATTTATGCAATTTTATTATTTTATAGTAAATTAGTTCATGATGATGTTGTAGGACATAACCTGAAATGGTTTTCTTGTTTGTGTGTTTGTACATGAAATCTCAGCTGCTATAGAGGATTGGTTCTAATTTGGCAGATGAGATATTTTTCATGGCTACAATAAGTTATCATTTATAATAACAGATAAATTATATTCATCCACTGCTGTCTCTTACACAGTTCTTTTCTTAAAAACTTTTCTAGTATTTAATTGATTTATTTCAATGTTTCTGAATGTCTTTCATGTATTTTCAGGCTCCAGCCTC